TGTCCTGTGTTTTGTATGCATGCTTTTGTACAATCTAGAGATAACTAAAGGAATTTGAGGGGACTATCAAATAATTATTTGGCAAACAGAATCTTGGAAAAAGCAAAGAAAAAACCATGTGGAACACGGAAGACAACTCTTAATCTTGCAGCATCTTGCAGTTTCCCAAACATTGCAATGAATTCTCACGTATATATATATATATATATAGTAAAATTATATATATATATATATAAGAATCAAGTCCGAACTTGGACCTTGAAAAATATTAAAAAGGGAAAACCCATGGAACGCCCGTTTGAAACGTCCCTCCAAACCCCAAAACCACCGCTGCTTCGAAAAAAAACGCCTCGCTTCGTTCGGACGAGCGTCCAGCGCAGTTCCTCCTCGGCGGAGTCCAAGCGCTCCAGCTCCAGGTCCAGGCCTCGCGAGTCGCGTCGAGTGACGCGAGTCATGGCCAGATGGCCATGTATGGCCATGTATGGCCATATTACACTGAGACGTGTCCAAAAGGAATTCATCACAGTGGACAGATGAGTAAAAGTATGTCAAAGCGGCCGAAGTAGAGGATGTTCCTCCAAATCAGGGTACCCGTTCGTTGATTCGCATTCTGTGTGTAATTCTAGTCTTCTTCCGAAGTGGGCAGTGGATGGCACGGATGGCACCCCGTGTTTGGAGAGGAAAGGTCGTCCTTCCAGGAGCCCATCTTCATCCATTTTTGGTCGTTTCGTGTCGCGGCCACGACGTCACGAAAAGAGAGTCCTTGGACTGCGCTTGGCGCGCACCAGTATGCCAAATCCAGCAGGTGACTGACCAGTTGCCCAGTGGTCGAATCCAGTATGCAGTGATCATCGTATATCACCAATATCATCATAGACGACCAACCTGACTCTGACCAAGCAGGTTGACCAGTAGCCGTAGCCCAGGATAGGCTGACAAAAAAGGAGATGGCATGAGATGGCTGGACGAAGCTCCTCAATGACCTATATACCTGTACCGGTCATCTTTTTGTCCCAAAAAGTGTCGTCTAAGAACCCACATGTTTTTGAGCAGCTCTAATGAATGGTTAAATTGCTGGATACCTTGCTTAAGCCACCTGGAAGGTCGGCTACATGGTGGACTGATAACGACCAATCCCCTTCTACCAGCACAGCGACTCAACAAATCTCCAACATGGTCACTTTTGGAGACATTCAATCAGGCCCTCGGTCAGACCTGCTTTTGCAGGTCCTGGATGCATCGCCACGTCGGTCGATCTGATTCGCCCGACTGACCCGTGGCGCAAGCGAAATCAACGACCGACGCGAGGAGGGATTGTGCTTGCGACCCCACCTTCAAGTCTTTGTCCCAGCTGCTCCTCACGCGCCGCAGCAGCATCTGCACGCGTGGAAAGATTGCGACCTCGGAGAGTTGCGAACACACGTGGGGATCGATGTATGCGCATCCCTACAAGGTCCAGTCGGGCCAAGTTAAACCTGATCCGACTGACCTCATGTTTCGTACTGGCTTGCATTTTCCACCCAGTCAAATTGTCAGACCTCGCACATTGTGGGATCGGAACTTCGGGCGGTCAGAATGGACCAAAACCAAGGTGGAAGGCCCCAAGTAGTTTTTCTCGACCCCGGAAGCCCCCGAAGCCCCGAGGATGCCGGTCCCGACCTGCTTTGTTGCGTCGGAATCCGACCGGTTCGCCGACACGAGAGGTGGCTGGTTTGCAAAGGTATCCTTGTTCTGACGTCACAGCCAAACAGCCAAACAACGACAGCTGATCCTGGTTCTGACGTCACAGCGAAACAGCCCAACAGCAGCAGTTCGCTTTGAGGATGCCACTTTGCGCCAGTATCCTCTCGTGCCTCGGTCGTACACTACGCCGATTCGCGGCCGGTCCTGGTGTTCGAGTTCGAGTCCAACGGTGGGAAGTGCATCTGCCAAGGTTCCATTCTCCTATGTACATCGACACCCAGTCCACAACTGTCGACCACAAACCATCCAAATCCATTAGGGCAAGGTTCTTTAGGGCACCCCCTTAAGAGAAAAGGATTTCTTCAGGAGAACCCCTTGTAATTCTGGGGAGGCCACCCAAAAGCAGTTCTATGAAACCTAGGGCGGCAACTCCTCCTCCAGCTGCTGGCCAGAGCCACATGTGCACCTGGCCGTTTTTCGCATCGTGTAGCCAAACTCGTCGAAGTCGTCAGCCCTTCAAACGTCAAACCACTAAATATAGCGAGCACATCAATTTTGATGGAAAATTATAGGATATATTATTATATGTTATATTGGAATTATACACCAGTTGGTGGAGGAAGTTTGTGAGAGACTTGATGATATATGTTCGAATTGTTGAGCATTCTCCCTGTCCATGTTCCTGAGAGTGTACGCCTCTGGGCTGGTAGAAGCCCCCACTGAAATGCAAACACTGCACACTTGACTTCTGGGGCGGCCGAAATCTGGTGTGAATCCAATTCGGGGAACTACCCCAACACAAACACCATAAAAGAACATCCTGGGCCTTGACACATAAATCCGGCGACCACTATACCCAGAAAAACGCCATGCATGGAACCTGTCTATACATGCAGGCGGGTGGCTTCCGGGTCCATGGAGGTCTACCGCTACTTCCAACCTGGCTGGATTCTCTTGGATCCATACACCCCCCAGGCCTGAAGAGGATTTTCAAATGGCTGGGGTTAAAGCATATTCAAAACCGCTTCGCCACGACGTCTTCGAGCCACCCGAACGGTCTTTCCTCGAGTCTCGGAGGCCCCCGTGTTGTCCGCCGTTTTCTGGCGCACCCGGACAGCGGCGGAGTGATGGACTCCAGGTCCACAATCCTCGAGCGACAGGTGATTTGGAGGTCTGAAAAACATGCTCAGCATAGACCCCAAACAGCTGTCGCCAAACAGCTTCGTCGGCAAGAATTTGCTGTTGTACGTTGGGTGGCGCGGGGAGCCCCAAGCCCCTGCCTCCAACGTAAACAGCACGACCACAGCAGGACAACAGAAAGACCAGAGGAGGGCATGAGGAGGACAACAAAGGACAAAGAGGAAAACAACACGAACACCCCAAGAGGACAAAAGAAGGACAAGCTGTGACCGGACAACGGCAAAAGGACAGCGGGACAGCATGAGGGGACAATGCCAAGAGGAGAATAGGCTGGCAGCCGTGGCCAATGAACACCTGAAGAAGGACAACAAGAAGGCAATATTAGAAGAACATGAGGAGATAGGGTTCAGCGGCGCGGCCAAGCTGGACACCAGCAGAACGAGAACAAGAGGACAACAGCAGCAGGACGAACAGAACAACCTCCCTACACCTAACTGGCCTACGAACGAATGTCCGCTGCTTTGCGCAGCGGTTACATGCGCTGCTTGGCAGTGATGGGTTACGGGGCCTCCTCCTACCTCCCCCGCATGGGTTCGGATCGCCGAAGTCGGCAGCCAACCGCAAGTGGTGCCTGGAGACCGGCAGCCAAGCTGCACACCAGGACAAGCAAAGGACAGGACACCGGACAGCGTTCACCGGCGTGGCCAGGGACTGTGGCCAGCTTCTTTTTTTCCTTAGAGAGAACCCCGACAGTGTTTACTGTTTGGGGAAAAAGACATGATATTATACTTCCTACAGTACCCAGTAATTAATATAGAATATGGATACATGGTAAAATACGATGAATACAAAAAATGGATCAATCGTTTACTTCTAATCCATTGTACTATGAAATACAGTAATACCTAGAATTTCTCTTCTTGGACAAACATGTCTGCTATTGCGGATAAAGACACCTTTGTCCGTGCTAAGGCGTTCTTGTCCCCTCTAGGCTGATAATTGAAATATGTTGAAACATAAACATGATCAATGACTGAGAAGCAACATCTCCAAAGTCAACAATCTGCTGGCAGCCTGTTTAATCAGTTTACTAGAATACAAGAAAAACTTACTAGAATTGAATTAACTGTTCTTCCTAACAACCTTTCAGCATCCCTACCCCAATCGGTCGAAAGTGGTCCGTGCGCTGAGCGTCTTTGGCTTGGCACGCTCAGGGCCCCGTGTACGGGCCATGGCAGCACAGGACGCACGCACTCGCGGACATGCGCCTGTCCGCACACGGATTGAAGAAAATGCTGGCGGCTGATGTTGTTTGAGCTCACGGCATGATGCCAAGCATGGAACCCCGATTTCACCATAGAAATTCACTGTCACTATATGGTTCACCGTTTTGCTATATGTTTCACACAGGTTTCACCAGAAAAACGATCTGGAAGGGGGGGTCCCTCTACAGGTTACAAGTAGGACTGTGCTGAGTTTGGGGGGGGCACTTGGAGCTGTAGTTGGACGATGTTGGACGTGTTCTATTGCTTCATATACTGCTTCCTGCTAAATTCATCTAAATTCCTTGTCACTCCCAAGCCCTGAAATCTGAAAGAGACCCACATGGAACCGGGTTTGGTATGGACACTGGAAGATGATTTTTCCGAAGACCGAAACCAGGCGTGGTGTGGTTTTCAGGTTCCATGATGTTCCGCGGTTTTCTCGGGAGCCAGGGCGTCAAATCGCATCACCTGGGCTCTTTTCGGATGGTGCACTTGGGATGGCTTTTGGGCATCTAGAAGCCATTGAATGGATGGTGGGCCGAGCTTTGCGGCAAGTCGATTATTAGTATTGTAGAATAGACATGAAGGTATTGGTTGCGCTTCTCGTCCTTAAAGTGCTGGTAGTCGCTGGCTTGCAAGGCAAGCTAAACAAATCTGCTGCAAATAGCTCGAGCCTTCAAACTTCGTGCCAAGTATATTATAGGCTGGACCATTCTCAACACACTCCCCTTGATTCAGAACAGACCCGTACAAAACCTCATTGTATTGTCCACAGTAAGTGCCCCTCCACGCCCACTTTGCAACACGTGTTTCTGAACGACAAAAGCCCCTCCTGGAAGACAATCTTTGTCACATACGAGTAGCTACTCTCCAGACCCATCCATCCACCACTTGCATACCCACGTCTTCACATTTTTCCCCTTGCATACCGCAAAGACGTGCGCTCTCCCATACACGTGTGCGTTGTTCAACAGCGCAACATGCACATCGCTCACACCGCTCATCCCCGGTCAGTGGCGGGAAACTGCACTCACTTCGCAGAGTAGAGCTTCAGGGATTTATCCATTGACACCGACGCGAGAGTCTTGGCATTTGGACCTGCGAAGAATTTCAACAACGATCTCCCTCGAACCACTTGCTGGATCTGCGAGTTTTGGAGATATCTGAGCACTAGCCTTCCAAGACCATAAAAGAAAGGTTGACTGATTCTGTAGTCTAAAATCCTTAGTAATTAAAACAAGGGTCGCTTGGTGTTCACCCCATTAAATCAATAGAGGTTGGAATCGGGATGAAGCTTCAAAACTCAGATCTGATCACCCAAGATCTGGACGAATTTTCGTCTCTAAGTGTGGCACCCCAGCAAAGACCCGTCACCGCATCCGTGTGCTCCTGAGTGTCCCGACACGAGACACGAAAACCGTCACTCAGCAGATTTATGGTCGAAAGTCTGAAGCCCTAAGAATCCGGGCCGGAACCAATATACAGAGCTATAGGGTTTTGAATGGTTTTGAGGGTCCGGCCTCTTGCTATGGAGGGCCCAAGGATTCTTAGGGAGATTGCATTCCGAGCCCCATCTACTGGAAGTCTTTATATCAATGAAAGTTATGCGCCTCAGTGCGAGGATTCTTGCGGCAATCGGGGCAAAGAACGGGCAAGCTGGTCCATCTCACGCACCAGATATGCATGTTTACTGGTCCATCCTTGAATGCGATGGTCTCCGTGAGGCTGGTTTTCGTCTCAAAGTTGAAGACCTCGAGTCGGCCGCGATTTCTCGCTTGCCACGAGTCGCTAGGAGAAAGAGTGGCGAGAGATTGGCCTTCTTTGGTTCATGCGTGCGTTTGGCACGCAACGTTCTTCCAAGCCGAAGAGTTTCTGCCAAAGGCAAAACTATATAGTATACTTGCAAATATACCTGGAATGAGTTTCTCTCACGTGAGAAATCATAAAGTAAAAAACTATTCATTCCAGATCTGTCCCGACCACCAGGCGGCCCGCCTGCACAGTGCTCCCGGACACCGCCAGGTACTGCCCGGTAGCATCGAAGCACACAGAGGTGCAACCCCCTTCGACCTGCCGAGAACGCCGTTTTTTGCGGTGTTTTTTTCCGGCAGGCGGTTGATTCAACCAAGTGCGCACTGAAAAGGGTCATAGAAACTGTGTTGGTTTCTTTCAACCAACCCGAGTGCATGACACTTAGGCAAAGGGTAGAAAGACTCACAAGCTGACACACGAGGCTTGTGAGCAAGCAACATGCAAGGAACACAAAGACAGGCTTGAAAATCAGTACAGCTCGATACAGCATTGCTCAAAACCATGTATGCACATGAATGGCGCAATACAAGTTGCCAAGGCACAACACCCAAGATCATGTCATGCGTGACCTTTGCGAATATAACAGTTGCACCAAGAAAAAAAGCAACATGTTGAACACAGGTGTACAGCGTCCACTTTTTTTGCGCAATCTTGCGGAATGTTACGCTTGTTTTGCGGTTTAGCGAAGTATTGCGCCTGTTTCGCCCTAACAACCACTCTGTTTTGCCGAGGATTAAGATGCTTTGACGGGCAAAGTGGTCGCACAAAACAGGTGCAACATTCACACCGACAAGATGCGGTCGCACATGTTCTCCATTGAGCTGATATCACAAGTCATGAAATTCAAAAGGGTTTCCAAACAATATATTTAGCAATCCATGAAAGTATACAAGAGTTCAGTAAATAAATGCTTACAACCAAAGCTGCGAAACACCACCAAAAACATGCAAAACACATGATGATATATAATATGGAAAACAAACATGGCTCAATAAAGAACAGGTGTCCGTTTCAAAGGCCTGATACAAAATGAGTATATATCTAAATTACAGTACATTGTGCGTACAGAATGTACACTGTTGTGCACCATACGTTGGTCCAAACGAATTTGTGACTCACCCCCATCTTGAATCATCTCGAAACATGAAACACTCAAAAAACATGCCAAGCATGAAAGCTCGAAGCCGAGCTTAGCTCGGCTCTGGCCTCGAGCCCGGGACCCGCCGCCCTCTCCGCGCCTGGATCGTTTGGAGATTCACCGGCTTTCGCAGGTCCCAAAGCCTCGGCCGGGTGAATTGATTCGACGTGTTCCTCAGTGGTGAAGTGGACTGGGCTGAAAGAGCCCAGTGCCGCAATCAGGCATGGCACCCGAAAAAGCAGGAGGGACGGACAGGTCCCCGCAATCGCCCCCCCGCCAGCGAGCTGAGTGGAGGTGCTTCTGGGGTTCCAGGCTTGACCACCCCATCTCTGGAGCCGGAGGCCAAGTAGTATCCATTTCCAGAGAAGGACAAGGTCTGGAGCGGAACCGGCAAGCCGGTATCGGTCTGACCATGGGATGAAGATGAAGGATCCCTCAAAAGGACGGTGTCACGGACCCCTCGTCTAGAACCGGACAGGACGGGCATCCAGGATGGGACACGCAATGATTTTTGTTAAGTATTTTTGTCCATGTCTCCCTATTAATCCCTATTCTTATTCACAGGCATAGGCAGGGTATGGGCGCGTATTTGATGTCTGGATGATCCAATTGCGCCGGGAACGCTGATGTGAACATTGCTACAGGGTAGAACATGGTAGAACTGTTGTGGCCACAGCTCTATCCGACCGGGGGGGCTGCGAGCTCAAAGAGACCACCCACCTCCACCCGCCCCCAAACCGATCATTCTTGAGAATTTTAGGGGTCGCATGGTATCCCAAAAAGGACGCGTGTATTCAATATTCATCTTGAAAGATTGCTAAACATCATGGAACCCATTTTGGTGCAGCGCTATGTATCGCTCGTTGCTGGTCAGTGGGTTCCGTCGTGCGAGTTCTCGTTGGCCCCGATCGGATGGCCCTGTCGACGTCTGGTCTGGTCGTTTCCGGGCCGGGTCGGTTTCGAACGAAGTCTTCGTGGGCCGAGCATGACAGTGTCAGCGTTAATCATACGATCTCAATCTCCATCTACAGAATACCCGAATCATGCCAATCATGCACGGTCGACATTTTTGCGAGAACTCCTCCATCTTGGGCCAACATGCGGATTCAGAATTCAGGGGTCAAGTAATTATGGGGCCACCACTGGACCAAATGAAGCAAATCGTCGAGCTAATTCGCGACACAAGCATTGTCAAGCTAATTAGCCAATTGTTTCCAGATGTTTGGATCTTTAAGGTATGCATTTTTTGAAGAGATCACATTGTTCAGGCCACCCCAATAGATCACCTGATTTCAACCCACCTGGACCGGCACTCCCATGGAGGGTGCCCCACCTGGACAGCACTCCCAGGTGAGATCAATTACCCCTCACTTCCCACCTGGACGGCACTCTCATGACCCAAAAGGGTTGCCACGGTGGCCTACAGCGCGGACGGCCCGGTGGCGTTGTGAAGGCGAACTTGCGTGAACATCGGCGCCGTGTGTTGCTAGAGTTCCAAGCGTGCAGGCTCAAACTCTTGGAGTTCCATGTGTTTCTGTATCTATATATATAAGGATGTAAAAGGTGATTGCTCTCAGATGGTGCTTTCAGGTCTTGAAATCAAGCATTGCTGGTCTGAAAACCGGAAAAGTCTCGACTGGAGAACAGCAAAAGTCGCTCGCGACAGCTCTACGAGAGCTCTAAGAGAGTTTTGTGGAGGCACCTGATCATTCTTGACGTCCCACACAATGACACTCTTGTCCTAATCGCTGGACATTCACATCGCATCACATCTCTAAACTGTCTGAGTATTTCTAGTCGGACAGGCGAAGATCACTAATGAACTATTAACTGCAATCTAAATGTAATGGTCGAATGTAGGCATGTTTGTATTCTGGTCATGTCTCTTCATGTTGGTGCCCCTGAAGACATCTTTCAAAGTCTTGGAAGGTTTCGGCAAAGACCGCTTTTGGTGCAAACACCCGGTCTTCCGGCTTCCTCTGTGCCACCCGCCACAATGAGACCATCCGGGTGGAAGCTCATGCAAGGAAATGCAGACTCAAGATCCTGCGAAGCAAGGTCTCGTTGAAGCAAAGGGCACATTGCTCATACATGTGTTTTTGTGCAATTGATGGTGGAGACGACCCCGCATCTCAATATCCAAAGCGAAGTGAACATCTACCAGACTCAGCTACCAGTCCAATTGCATATCCGTACAGCATCAGAACGAATCAAACGAAATAGAGATACACCCCTTAGACCCACGACACATGGAAGTGGAACCATGACAAGTCCCCATCGGACCGTGAAAAAAAAAGAAAGGGCTGCCAAGTCACCCTCGGACCCTCGTCCAGGGCGTCGTGGCCGGTCACACGGTCCGGTCCTTCATGTGTCTTACACAGCGCCCTGTGGCAAAGTCGTGAATCGCCCAGGACTTGTCCAGGGACGCGGTCAGCAGGTAACTGAGTGGGCGCACGGCGAAATAGCACGTCGAAATCGCCGAAGTTTTTGAGGCGATTACGTTCCATGTTGGGAAGTGTACTGTAGCAAACTGAAAAAGTGCCAGGCTTTTTCCAGATTGGATGAGATTGGATCTGGGTCAAAATCAGTTACTGCATGTACAGTTTCGGAGTTGAATCCCAAAGTCACACAGCACATCCATCATGATCCATCTATTTCCCACGATATTGGGTATGTCCCATTACCAGCGCCCGTCCATCGCGAATGAGACTGTAAACCCAGGACACACAAACTCTCACACCATGGAGCCGTCGTTCAACCCACTGAGCCCGGTCCGGTTGTCCACCAGGTCGGTCGTGCCGGGAGACGGTGTTTCAAACCCATGCCAGGGGATTGACCCAGTTAAGGACCAATCAAAAGAGACCAGCTAGCAAACACTTACCGGTGCTTTACACTTACCGTAAAGCACCCCTAGGCCTAGTCCACACTAGTTTGGGGAATAAAAAAGATCGACCATAAGCAAAACTCCAGGTCTTAAACACCTTAGTCAAGTCAATCGGTCAATGACACCGAACCGAACCTCGCCGAACCGATGATACCGCCGGTGCACTCTCCCAGGGGATGGATCGACAAGTCTGTGACGTCTAAGCGGTGCTTCCGGATGGTGTGCAGGCAATTGTACCTGGGCATCTGAATGCATCTGACATCTGAAGACATGGTACTGTATCTAGCAATGAGTAGAAGTTCGTTCCATTCAATCTTGATCGAGATGGCAGGGATGGCTGGAGCCTCTTTCCATCTGTTTCCTGTTGATCTAAGATTTGGGGCGAAACTGAAGCCAAAGGCGTCGTGAATGCGATGTCTCCAACGGGTACAGACCAAACAAACTTGATGCAACACTGCAAAACAAACGAAGCGCCAACACACTAACTTTTTTGAAGTGAGCCTCTTTTTGAGAGATTACACCATGGCGGTCATGATGTGTGATGGACATGGCACCGCGACATGCCGGCACTTGAAGCCGCGGAAGAAGCCGCGGAAGAAGCCGGCGCAGTGGTGATTGCAGGGTCATCTTGTTGAAACGTGTTGAAACAAAACAACCTGAAGAGGTCAACCTTGAAGTCATGTGTTCAAACAAAAAGGAGAAGAGGATAGAAAAGGTGGAATACGAGTCGAGTACCCCAAATCAGACCTTCAATTCCTGAGCATCATCTGCTAATCTGCTATAATATCTGGTTCTGAATGGTTTGGAAAAAAACAAGTTACCGTACTAGTTCATAGTATCAATAGTACATGATTCATTAGACACTGACCAGTCCAGTCTTTACCTTAAAACAGGCAGCTTCTGCGCCACAACCTCACTATAGCGTTCCGTCCGGGCATCGTTTCGCCGTCCCCGACGTTTTGAACACGAACAGTCTGAACATGTTGTTAAAAACCTGTCGACGTTCACCGTCGTTCGAGGTTTCAACGGTTTCACACCCTCGTTCAGCATCGACAGCGCACTGGCTTGACCAGTCCGTTGGGCTGCTACAAGTCCAGACTTTGGCCGTTGCATCCTGGTGCCAAACGTCATGCGACGGACAGCGGCGCCAAACGTCATGCAGCTGAAAAGGGTCTTGGAGGGGGGGTGTCTTAGATGTGTTCTGACGTTCTGACATCTTTTCCCATCTTTTCCCCACAATTGGGGCAGTTGCTCGGGTGATGTGGGATGAACTAAGTGGTCAACAAAGGTGTGTCATTTGGTCAACAGCCTTGCGAACCTCACCTGAACCGCAGGATCAAAACCCACCGCGGTGACGAATCCAAGGACGTTGACCAAGGCTACCCGACTTCATCTGCCGCGACCGACCCGAACCATGGAGGGGTTCTGCGGCCGAACCAATCCCTGGGTGGCGACTCAAGGGGCGATGAGCGGCGAACGAGCGAACGGAGAATCAAGCCTCATTGGATCCTAAAGCCTCATTCTAGTGTCACATTCCAATCATCTGACTGAACAACATCTCTGGCGATATCCAGCAGGGACCTCTAAGAGGGGGGGATGTTTTTCAGGTCGAGCTCTGCAACAGCTCTGCAACAGCAGAGAAACTGGGTGCCCGTCTGGGTGCCCCGATCCACCATCTTCGAAGCTCTCCCATCCTCATCCTCCGCATTCCTCCGCGGTCCTGTGAGGCCGAAACAATCACCTCCTTGTCCCCATGCAGCTTGACTGCAGTGACCTGCACCAGCGAGTTACGACGGCGCGCGCAGGACGGCAACCTCGACCCCGATCGCTGACCCCCGTGGCGATTCGGTCGCTGGGCCAGACGCACCCGAAGCCCCTGGGTTGACTTCCCAATACGAAAAACGCATTCAGCGCCACTGGACGGCCCTTCATCCACTTGTTCAGTGTTTCCACTGGGTATACAGAGGGTGGTTGGTCAGTAACATGTAAGTCATGTCGCTGCCCATCTTTTCCTCGATCACACCACTGGACTCCAGTCCCACGAGTTTCGGCCATCGCACTGGAAACCCACACCTGTCACTCGTCGACCGTGGAAACACACAGGCTGTGCTTCGCCCGGCACCGTTAGGCCGGGAAGTAGGATGGTCGCACGGTGCCCGGCTGACCACGTGGCGCCACTCGCTTTGGATAGAAGAAGAAGGAGAAGAAGAAGAAGGCGCACCTTCTTGGAGTGCCCGACCATCTTCTGAACCATTTTTTGCTTCTGCGCATTGTACAGGAGAACCTGAATCAGTTGGAACCGAAGACATCTAAGTAGGGGTGAAATCAGAAACAGGATTCAAGCAGGATGTACAACTTTGGGTGAATCCTTCGTGCCTGACAGTCCATGCCACCAGAAACGATCCTGTTCGGGTCTGCCTAGCAATGTCACAAGTCAAACTCAATGGTACCAAAACAAGCCACTTTCACTGTCCCTTTGCAGTCGCGTCCATTCATGGCGTGTGGTGAAACATCCGCTCGGGTCCGGGCACTAGCTCACTGATCCCGAATTAGTGGACAGCTCGACCAACATGATAATCATAATCAGGCGCATTGGAGATTTCCGACTTCAATGACAGTTGGATGATGCTGTTCATCTCCAACTGCAAACGCATTGCCTGCACGTCT